TGGAAACTGTCATCAAATCTCGAATTCCAGGACTTCAGTCACTTATTAACAAAACTATTTTCGAGCTAGAATCTGAGTTGAGTCGTCTGGGAAAGCCCATTGCTACAGATGTTGGAGTAAGTTTTCCTTTCCATTTACTGCCATCTCAAAACTTGTGATCATGGTCACTTGAGGAGTTTTTTTTTGATTAAATTTATCAGTTCATACATTGCTGCTCAAGCTACTTGCTTGATTCTTTTCTGGCTTTCATGTGTTTTTCCTGTATGCTTTCTTTTATACTTGTTTTGAAGTTAAATATGTTCTGTTTGCTCTTCAATCGTCCTCACTGCAAGAAGAACTTTAATCTTTTTACTCCAAACCATTGATGCAGGGAAAGCTGTACATGATTATGGAAATCTGCCGTGTTTTTGATGGTATATTTAAAGAACATCTTGATGGAAGGTATGAATTAGGGAATTTTGGTATCATTGTCTCTCGGGGTGTTTAATGACATTTTATTTCATGTTATTATCCAGTCTAATCTTCATTTGATTACCTCGTAATTATATAGTCGACCCGGTGGTGATAAGATATATAATGTCTTCGATAACCAACTACCTGCTGCATTGAAGCGGTTACAGTTCGACAAGCATCTTGCAATGGAAAATGTGCGGAAATTAATAACTGAGGCTGATGGATACCAGCCTCATCTTATAGCTCCCGAGCAAGGTTACCGGCGTCTCATTGAAACTGCTTTGATTACTATTAAAGGTCCTGCTGAGTCAGCTGTTGATGCGGTATGTATTTTCGTTGCGCTGGAATATAAATTATTTTTATAAACTGCATTGATTCGTAAGGAATGTAAAGCCTTTCGATATCAAGGAAAAAGAAAAAGGGAAATGTTTTTCTGCGATATGGAATATGAATCCTTTTTCACATCTTCTTACTGATATATGGGCTACTTGATTGACAAACGATATGATTATTTGAGTACAATCTCATACAACAGCATGAAAATCGACTTGTTCGTGATGATTTGTACGTAGAGATAGACGATGCCTTTTTGGGCACAGGAGCTGAATACATTGTTTGAAAAGCAATGTTGATCACAATGTTTATTGGTGAAACGGACAGAATATGCATGCTAATCACCTAATTTTTTCTTCTTTTAGGTTCATGGAATACTGAAGGAACTGGCCCACAAATCAATTAGTGAGGCTTCTGTAAGTCCTTTTCTTGTTTTCTTTTTCTATTATGCGTCATTGATTTGATTTAATTCATAATAGACGTAGATGCAATGAAGCGTCTTGAATATCACAAGCTTTGGGATTTCTGAATTTTGTTACGACTACGAAATTATTGTTCAGTTATTCTTATGCCCGTTTGGTTTAGATAAAAATCAGATTTTTAGTAAATTTAGATAGAAGTTGATAGAACGTGTGGTTGAAAAGTTGTCGATCCCTTAAAATGTGTGGTTAGAAATAATGGTTGACTTTGACTTAGATTTTAATTTACTTTCTATCTGAACCAAACAGGGACTATATCTGATGCTACATGATCAATATCTACTTGCGTCCCCTACCTTCCCTTTCCCCTTTGAACATTAAAAAGAAAATAGGAACTGGATGGAAATAGGAAAATTAAACTACATGCTCACTATCTGCGTGTGTCCCCCCCACCTTCCCCTTCCTCTTTCGAATTATAAAGAAAAGAGGAACAGGTGGAAATATCAGTAAATAATTGATGGAAAAATTATCTTATTACATGTTCAAGATATTAGAGCATGCTTGGCTGGCTTTATTCAAAGCAGTAGAAGTACTTTTATTGAAAGTAAGAGCCTGTTTGACAATCAGAAAAAAAGAGTTTTGAATAGTGATTTTAGGAGAATGTGTAGTTAAAAAGTAAGAAAATGTTTTTGGTATACGTGTAAGAATATTTTCTTGTGTGAATATGTGGTTGAAAATGGTCATGTAGCAAACCATAAAATAAATTAATGGTTGTCAAACATGCTCTAAGTAAGACTTTCAAGTTTCAGAAAAGTATGTTTTTGAACTAAATATCTTAAAAGTAACTTCTAAACAAGACAAAAAGTTCAAACATTCGACAAGAAGGTGGTTAAATTAACTTTTGTCTTCCTTATTGTGTGCAGGAGCTGAAGCAGTATCCCTCTCTAAGAGTGGACGTTGGGAATGCAGCTGTTGAATCATTAGACAGAATGAGGGATGAAAGCAAGAGAGCTATAATACAGCTAGTAGAAATGGAATATAGTTACCTAACTGTAGATTTCTTCAGGAAGCTTCCTCAAGATGTTGAGAAGGGTGGAAATCCTACTCATTCAATTTTTGACCGATACAATGATTCGTATCTTCGACGAATTGGTAAGTTTATATTAGCATTTTTTCCCATGCAGTTTTAAGATCTTCTAGTGTTGTAATTTCTTAAATGACCCTCTTTTGTATTGCCTCATGAGTAGGATCAACTGTTTTGTCGTACGTCAATATGGTTTGTGGAAGTCTGAGGAACTCGATTCCAAAGTCTATAGTATATTGTCAAGTCCGTGAGGCAAAACGCAGCTTACTAGATCACTTCTTCACCGAGTTGGGCAAAAAAGAGGTGATAATTACGTCTCCTATAAACTTTTGCATCCACCCTTCGGAATAGGAACACCTGCACGGATGCACACATGCAAATAAACGTGTGTGCATAGCAAGACAATATTCTATAATATATAAATTCTGTGCATGGTTTTACAGGGAAGACAGTTGGGTACACTATTGGACGAGGATCCTGCGATCATGCAGCGTCGCGTCTCTCTTGCAAAGAGACTGGAGTTGTACAGAGCTGCTCAATAAGATATCGATTCAGTGGCTTGGTCGAAATGAACGAAGAGAATTTCTTTTCTCCTTCCTCCCATTTTCATTATTTCAGCTTATCGAGCTTTAATTCTTTGATGATACTCAATATTCTTTCTGCAAGTTCATTCTTTTAGTGCTCTAGCAATTACTGCCGTCGATTATCACCAAATTCATAGCGTTCCATAATACTGATGCTGATTTTTCCAGTGTCACTAAATTCTAAGAACCTTTTAATAGTCTTGATACTTTCAACGTTATTTTCACTTGTCATTATTTTTCATTTAAAAATTAACAATTATGATCTCGAATCATGAATTAGAATAACGGATTAAAAAAAATGTTTAAAGTACATTGAAAGACGAGAATCAGCTTCGATGATTTTTATTTTTATTTTTTATTTTTAAATTTAAAGGCACGAGAAGATTTAAATTGTTTCAAAATTCTCTGTTTCTCTCGTAATTGTTCCTGTTTGACTTCCTTTAAAATAAAAATAATTTATTTTTCATCATCATTTTCAGCTGGCACATACACAATAAAATATTTTGCATAAACTCAAAATTTTCTCACTTTTAACTAATCATTTTTCATAAAAATAGTATTCAAAACATCATTTTTATGCAATAATGACTATCAAACGGTCTATTTAGAGCCTAAGTTAGCTCCAGTTCAACTTTCTTTTAACTTAATATTTTTTAATTTTTCATACTCATTTTCAATTACATTTACACAATAAAATATTTTATACGTAAACTAAAAAATTTCTATATTTTTTAACCACAAATTCTTAATAGAAAATAAAAAATGAAAAAAATTGCTGTTTGAAACATCATTTTCCTCCAATCTCTTTATAATGGTCATCAAATGACAACTTGGTATGTCCCTTTCGTATATCTCTATTTTGGTAATGTCAATAAAATTGAAAAATATTAGATTGTACGTATTAATTAAAAATTTACTCATCAATACTAGTATCTATTTAGAACTAGTGATGTTTAGGTGTTAGCCTAAACATATGATCAATTAAATATTATGATTTAGAGTTCATTTTAATAGATCTAAAATCATGCTATATGTACACCAATGTTGATTACATCCATGTGAGTTGACATATTCGATGCATTGGATTTAACACTACCATTTTCAATCAATGTCCAGATCTATGACGTATATGAGGTGTACACAATGGGTGTAGCTTAATTCATAGATATATCATGTCTTGCTATATAGACGAATTTTAAATGAGGTAGATAACATTATTCTATTAAAGAGTAACGTTTATGTTCAATTAAATGTAAGAATTTAGAGCTCATTTAATAGGATCCATTATACACACATTAAACACTACTTATGTCGGATAACGTTATTCTATTGAAATTATTTTGAATTCCTTAGTCTCTCTACACCAAAACAGGTCCTCTCTAATATTTTTCTCCTTTTCAAACTCTTCTCTCTCCAGAGACCAGAATTTATCTCAGCCTCCTTTGGAGAGTAATTAAAATATATATGCTCTCTCTCCACAGTGTGCACATCCATTCGAGTGAATTGTTTCAAAAATCACTTAACTTATATCGTGGTCACAGATTGTTTACTGAACTTCATAATATGCTTTACACTGCTCACTGAACTTCCTCTGTTTGCCCTCCTTCCATCATCCAAAAAAATACGTAACCATTTTTGGTGACATGGCGGATGGAAAGTTGATGTGGCTACTAACGTCTTTTAAATTCACGCCAAATCAACTTTGGCAACCTAATCAGCATAAACACGTGCCACGTTGATTTTAAAATTAATCAGTATATTTCAATTTCTTAAATGAAAATAAAATTGGCAGAGGTCCTAATTTTCTAAGTATATTTTGATCTATTTTTGAAAATAAAGTAGGAAATAATGTCAAACTCTTTCGTTCAAGCAATTATTTCTTATAGATAAGACCCTATCTTTTGTAGAAATTCTAGTTGACTTATCAATTCAATTGAGTCCGAGAATATTGCTTAATTACCGGAATATTTGGCCCAAATATAGACCACTAAGATTTGTTGTGAATCCCCTTAAATGCCTCCACTCCCTGATATCAAAAAATAACCTGCAAACTACTTCTCTAAATTTTTTCCTTCTTCGTTGCTGCATCTATTTGCCAAATACTTTACATTTCCACGCAGGGTTGTTATGGATTGGTCTCGAACATCTGCTACAAATGCATATCTTGATGCCCTGAAACTGGTAATTTTTTCTTTCTTCTTTTACATCATACAAGGCATGAAAATTATACGTTACACCAACTCAGTTTTTATAGGAGAAATACTTTCTTCTTTTTCTTATTTTCCTTTTGATTGGCACATAGAAGTTGAATTATGGACATGCAAGCAAATTCAACAAATATATAGAGATATAGAAGGATATGTTTGGGCTCGCAATGTTTGTGACGTACTGCAAAAGTGCAAATGCCTTGTTTCTATTTACTATAATGCATGCTCTGTTATTAATGCCCTTGCAGTGTAGCAAGCGCAAGAAAGAACGCAATTCCTGCGAAGAAACACGGGAGCTCGAAAGTAATGAATTCATATCAGCCTTAGCAGCAGGCTTGAATTCGAAACGAATTGTAGAAGTCACTTCCGAGGCCTCTTCATCGACAGTTGCCTTGGCAGCAGCTGCACGACAAACTGGAGGAAAGCTTATATGCATCCTTCCCGAACCGAGAACTCTAGACAAATCTCAAAAGGTGATTCAAGACTTGGGCCTAAATGAAATGGTCGAATTTAGAGCCGGAGATCCTGTCGAGGTATTACCAAATTGTGAGAACATTGATTTCTCCCTAGTAGATTGTAACACTGATAACTACGGAAGATTGTTTGAAAAGCTAGATGTGAATCGCAAAAGGTCAATGGTGGTGGCGAATAATTTAGTAGAGGGGAGAAAAGGGGTGGAAGGTCTTTTGAAAGGAGTCGAAACTATGGTTAAAGTACAGTCTATGAAGCGTCCTATAGGTAAAGGTATGGAGATTACGATGATCGGGAAGAGCAATGAGCTCGGTAAAAGAGAACGAAGCAGAGGAAGCCATAGTCGAGCACAGCGAAAGGGACAATTAGTGAAGAAGACAGATAAGAGCAAATGGGTTTTTGCAGTTGATGAGAGAAGTGGTGAGGAACATATTTATAGGTTGCCTAAATCTCTGTAAGCAACGATGAAAAGACTGAAGAAGTGAATTTCTCCATTACATTTTCCCCTGCCTGGCAGCACAAAAAAGGGTCCATGAGAACATCAAGTTGACAATCAATCCAACATCTTATATATAAACCTGAGGAGTTGGGATTGGAGCCTGTAAAAAATTTTGATTTTTTCTTGTATAAAAAAATGTGTCGCCACTGACCAAGGAAGAAATTGGCACGTACATTCATGTATTTAATTATTTTTTGAAGTGTTTGAAAATGTGTGTAGGGAAAACGTGTTTACGTTGTCGTCGCTCTCCTTGAACCATTATTCATGCCCACTAGTGTATAATCAGTTTGAGTCGAACTACCTTCTAAAAAACAATGAAATTCAAACATCGGTTGTTTACGTAGTTGCATCTTTAATGACCAAACCAATAATGGTAGAAGTAATTATTTTATCAACGGAATCGTTATTATTGTATTTGTACGTCTAAAGTAACATTGCTATTCATAGTTCAGAAAAATTGTTCGTTAGAATTCAATACAAAATTATAGATGAGAAAGTTCATCAAATTGATATACGATTATAGGTGAAAATTTGTTTGGGGCCTAATGGCATCAGTTGCACAATATGCTTGATAGATTATGGCCCCAAGGAAATAGTAAAACTCATGCCTGATTGTGAAACATTGTTTGCATGTTGAATGTATAGGTAAGTGGCTATATAGACTAATGCACATAGTTATACCGGTTTTTTGGGTTTCTGTGACTGAAGCAATGTATCATTATTTTCGTTTCACTTGTAAGCTCACATTTTATATACTGTCTGAACATCGCCCCTAAGGAGGCTCCATTGACAGTACTTTTAAGCAGTAAAGGTGTTGATCACGCCAGCACAACCCAATTTTGAGGTAGACCGTGTCGAGCACGCCTAAGATATAATTTACCAGGCTTATGGCTCGTATTTTTATTTTTTTTTATGGTCTCAAGTTTTCTTCTTTTAAATACAAGCCTGCATGGGCTGTCCACAGAGTATGACCCCTACAACTGGTCGGGGGACAAGCTTTTTCCGTCGCCCTCAAGGAGCCATATATTTTGACTACTCAGTTTAGATGGTCTATTGATCCAAAACATTTTCACACCTCTTACTTCACTCAGTGTAAGAGTTTCCGTTGCCTCCGCCGGAAGCTCTAATATTTTTTTCCACATCGCGTAAGAACAAGAATTGATCCTTTCAGCTTAGCTCTTGTCCAAAGCTCTTTTCACAGGGCGAAACTTGAACATACAACCACCAACACGTGTTGGAGCCTCAACCACTATGTCAATCATATGTATCTGATATCATATCACCAATGACGAGAGAAAAGTGAAATCAAGAATGAAACAAACAATCAAGTAGAACTAATCGCAGAAATGATAATTGCATACATGACATTTGTGCAAAGCTAGATTAGTAGCAAACAGAGATTTTGTATTTCAAAAGGGCAGTTTGTTCGACTGGCAAAACGAGGAAGTTCATTATCAAAGTATCTATACAGAACTTGACTATTACATAGAGAACCGCTTCATTTCAAGCTCAAACACGGTTAATTAACTCCAAATTGGAACCAAGTCATCAAGCATACAAGGCTTTTCATTTCTTTGCAAACAACTTCTTTGGTAGCATCTCCAAAGGCGTAGTTTTGAGCAGAAAAAGCCTTCCAGCGCGTTCTTGCAAAGTACCACCACATTTCAATCCACGTGCTTGAAGCTCCAATTTTAACCTCTCCAAGCCAAGTACCTGTAATTTATTGTAGTTAGATAATGAATGGTCGCATACCCACAACTATGAAGAACACTTCTTAAAATGAAATGAACTCACTAAAAAAGGTGGAACAGGAAATAGAAAAGTTGCAACATACCTCCAACTCTGCTGCTGAATTAAATCCATTTAAGTTCAGCAGCTCATCAGAATCTTTTAAACTTCTAGACACCGATTCTTCGTGAACTGGTTCAGAATCAGTAATCTTGCTCCCTTCTATAGCAGAAGCTCCTTCTTCCTCGGAGCTGGAGACACCTGGAAGCTGAAAGGCGAGTTCATCCACTTTGTGGGAGTGAGATTCTTCAGGCACTTCTTTTTCAACTGCATTTAGATCTGCACTTTCCTCAAGAATCTCCACTTCAGGTTCATTCTTATGTTCCCCATCACTGTTATTCGTGCAAGCATCCAGACCTCTACCAGATTTTGAAGACTCTTCCGCAACTGTATCCTCTTCCTCAGAGCCAACGCCAGAATAACTTTTATCAGCATCAGGTTTCCCTCCAGTAACTGAATCTGAACTTCTCTCTGCTTCCTTACTGGAATCTGAATGATTCCCATTATCTATAACAACGGATTGCTCATTCTCCTCTTCTTTGCTGTCATAATCATCATCCTCATCCATGTCCTCACTGTCACTGTCCTCCAATTTCTTCTTTCCCAGCCTAATAAGTACCATGTAGAAAAGTTCCTTAGTTTCTAAAACTTCAAACTAAATAAAAGCTTTTATATTCCTGATTCCACTATTATATTTTCATCACAGATTTTCTAAATGACAATTGACTATAACTTTACCTAGCAAGACAACCTAGGTGTATAAATTAGAATACCCATTTGTGAGATATTCTTTAAACAAACAAAATTGCAAGAGACAACCTTGCACGTACAATAGCCATTTGTAGCATATTATTTAAAGATACAAAAGAACAACATTTTCCTCGGTTCTCCAAGAAAGCAACCGAGCTTCTTTATCATAATCCATCATGCAAATACTTACTATTGTTTCATAATTCATCAATCGCCAAGATATCACGGATTTATCATACCAACTAAATATTAGTTGACATGATATATAGGCTCTGAATATTCTCCCTTGGTCTAAGCATGGTGGAAACTATAAATTTACTATTTAGATCAAATCATAGAACACAACTGTAACGCCCCAAAATTTCATACATCTTAAGGTGTTACCAACAAAAATTTTCATGTACTTAAAATGCGGGATTGTAAAATTCTATTTTCTAAATACACGAAACATTCATAAATTTAATTTCGAATCATAAGTCATGTCTTTAAAAACAATTTAGGCATTCTCAACTACTGTTATTGGATAAAGCGAACAATTAAATTTTAAAAGAAAAACGGTAAAACTTAATATTCTCGTAGGGTGAAATCCTTTGGCAGACCGCATCACCATCCCGCCACAGCTCCAATCGACCCGAACTAGACTGTAAAAATTGTAAGTATTCTCGTAGGGTGAAATTCTTTGGTAGTCCACTGCAACATCCCGCCACAGTTCCAATCGACCCGAACTAACCTGTAAAAATTGTAAGAGTGAGTATTTTAAACACACCCAGTAAGATGCGTGCAATTTTCATATACAATTATATAACAATGACAAACAATTCATACTACATTTATCTTTATGGAGTATATCGGTGACCAAACGAGATACCCATCATTTCTCATTTTGAATTACCGAAGGATTTCACATTTCGTTAGGTCGAACCCAAAGTTCCACTGGCAATTCATGCATAAATTACTGAACATAAAAGCATGAGGAAACGAACAATTTGCACAAAAAGTATCTTACCAAGTAGATGGATCAAACAAACTTTTGAAGAAAATATAATGACACGTTCCAGAACTTTTCCTTGCTTTCGTGAAAGTGAATGTATGACAATGATGTATGCACTTTTGACTTTCCCACTTTTCTTCTTTCTTTCACGAGAGCGAGTAGTCTCTTTCTTTTCTCTCTCCTTGACTCTATATTCTCGTTTTGGTGTGAAATATAATATGAATAAACATGGATATTTATAAGGCAAAAGAAGTAGAATCCTAGTGTACTTAGGATTGAAAAAGTCGTTGCCATCAATCAAGAGAAGATTGGATGATAATGACTTATCACAATTTTGAGTTATTCGAAATTTTAAAGTTTTTACCATAAAGAAGATATGATAATGACTTATCACAATTTTGAGTTATTCGAAATTTTAAAGCTTTTACCATAAATATTACAAGCTTCTTTTTCAATCCTAGGTACACTAGGATTCTACTTCTTTTGCCCTATAAATACCTATGTTTAATCATATTATTTTTTACACCAAAATGAGAATAGAGAGAAAAGAGAGAGAGACTACTTGCTCTCGTGAAAGAAAGAAGAAAAGTGGGAAAAAGTCAAAAGTGCATACATCATTGTCATACATTCACTTTCACGAAAGCAAGGAAAAGTTCTGGAACGTGTCATTATATTTTCTTCAAAAGTTTGTTTGATCCATGTACTTGGTAAGATACTTTTTGTGCAAGTTGTTCGTTTTCTTATGCTTTTATGTTCAATAATATATGCATGAACTGCCAGTGGACCTTCGGGTTCGACCTAACGAAATATGAAATCCTTCGGAAATTCAAAATGAGAAATGATGGATATCTCGATTGATCACCTGTATACTCCATAAAGAGAAATGTGGTATGAATTGTTAATGTTATTGTTATATAATTGCATATGGAAACTGCATGTATCTTAATGAGTGTTTTTAAAATACTCACTATTACAACTTTTACAGGTTAGCTCGAGTCGATTGGATCTGTGGCGGGATGGTGCAGCTAGCTGCCAAAGGATTTTACCCTACGAGAATATTAANCAAATTAAATATGGAAATCTGGGTATATATGGAAATCTTCTTCAGGCTATTCTTCTGGGTATATATGAAAATCTGTTTGTGATAAGACTTTTATTTGGTTGGCGGCTTCACGTGTGGTGATAAGTGTTTTAGGTTTGATTATTTTAAGATAACTCAAAATTGTGATAAGTCATTATCATCCAATCTTCTCTTACTTTATGGCAACGACTTTTTCAATCCTAGGTACACTAGGATTCTACTTCTTTTGCTCTACAAATACCTATGTTTAGTCATATTATTTTTCACACCAAAACGAGAATAGAGAGTAAAGGAGAGAAAAGAGAGAGACTACTTAATCTCGTGAAAGAAAGAAGAAAAGTGGGAAAAGTCAAAAGTGCCTACATCATTGTCACATTCTCTTTCACGAAAGCATGAAAAAGTTCTGGAACGTGTCATTATATTTTCTTCAAAAGTTTGTTTGATCCATCTATTTGGTAAGATACTTTTTGTACAAGTTATTCCTTTCCTTATGTTTTATATTCAGTAATTTATGCATGAATTGCCAGTAGACCTTCGGGTTCGACCTAACGAAATGTGAAATCCTTCGGGAATTCAAAATGAGAAATGATGGGTATCTCGCTTGATCACCGATATACTCCATAAAGAGAAATGTGGTATGAATTATTTATATTATTGTTATATAATTGCGTATGAAAACTACACGTATCTTATTGGGTGTTTTTAAAATACTCTCTTGCAATTTTTACAGGTTAGTTCGGGTCGATTGGATCTGTAGCGGGATGGTGCAGCGGACTCACAAAGGATTTCACCCTACGAGAATATTAAGTTTCACCGTTTTCTTTTAAAATTTAATTGTTAGTTTTGTCCAATAACAATAGTTGAGAATGCCTAAATTGTTTTTAAAGACATGATTTATGATTCAAATTTAAATTTATGAATGTTTCGTTTATTTAGAAAAATAGAATTTTACATTTCTGCATTTTAAGTACATGAAAATTTTTGTTGGTAACACCTCAAGATGTATGAAATTTTGGGGCGTTAAAGACATGATTTATAATTCGAATTTAAATTTATGCATGTTTCATTTATTTAGAAAAATAGAATTTTACAGTTCCGCATTTTAACTACATGAAAATTATTGTTGGTAACGCCTCAAGATGTATGAAATTTTGGGACATTACAGTATTTTTTGTAACGACCCGACCTCGCGTCGGAGTCGTTATCATATCATACGTACTGTCCACTTCGAGAGAGCCGAACCCATCTTACCCCTCACAGATTTCTGACGCCTCCCCCATAATTCGAACACAACACCTTCATCATATGGGAGAAAGATTCAACTTAAATCTCTCACATATGATGGAGGTATTGAGTTCGAATCCTGGGGACGTGTCAGAAATAGGTAGGTAAGATCCCTGTACTCTCCCAAAGCGGACAGCACCTATGATATGATAATGTCTCCGACGCGAGGTCGGGTCGTTACAACAACTGTGTCAGAATTCTAACATAAAATTACAAGAAGGAAAGCAAAACACCATACCATATCTTCAACCGCTTGGAATCAGATTTACTTGCTTCCACCGCGTTCTTTCTCTTCAGGCTCACCAACCCTTTAATCGACTCCCTAACGGACCTCTCGACTTCCTCCATACACTTAGCCGAATCCTCCCTATACTTTGCCACATACTTCTCTGAGCTCTCTCCCTTTCTATTATAACCCTTTTTCACCACCTCTTTGGCCTTCTTCTTGATATAATCCTCAGCCATTTTCTCCAGCTTCCTCTCATCCGCCTCCGCCCTCCACTCTTCCAGTTTCTTCTCTGCATTCACATGCCTCAGTCTCCGCCCACTCATATCCCTGCAAGCATCAAAATTGTTCGTCTTCTTCTGTCCTGCCTTCGTAGCCGCTCCTCTAAGCAATGACCCAAACCCTCCTTTCCCACCCCTGAGCCGCAACAACAAATGCACCACAACAGGAAAATTCCGAGACCCATCCAAAGACTTTCCGGGCAAACCCGTATCATGGGACCCATTAAAATTTCGATCTTGAGGCAATTGGGAATTGATATCAAAATCTAGGGTTTTGGGGAATTGGGTATTCTTGTAAGAACCCAAATTGAAATCTAGGGTTTGGTGGTCATGGAGGACGCGAGAGTTGTGGGATAGGAGAAGTTGAAGATAGGATGGAATAGAAGTAATCCTCTGAATCTGGTGCTTGAGGGTTGGAATGGAGATTGAAGGGGTATTGAAATTTAAGAATTTGTGCTTACCATCAAGAAATTTGACAAGAACTTGATGGATTTCAGACTCAACCACCGCCATTTGCTTGATATATATATGGCCTTGATCGGCTTATTGATCAAAGGGATTAGGCTTTCCTGTGTGCTGTGTAGGAGCGCGCGAGCGAGAGAGAACTCATTCCATCGTTGTTGTATATGTATATATTAGACAGACGAATGAATGGGCCGGATGTCCTGATCTAAACGAAACCCAATTTTGGACCGGTCCAATAATCAATAATTAGAGTGGAAATTACACAAATCCTTATCTTTCAAAATCCAACTTAAAAAATCAGGCACAAAGTTTGTTTATTAAAAAATCAGAACTTTTATTAATTCATAATATTATTATTGGATAAATATATTATTAAATTAATTTAATTTATAAATCAACCCTAACCCCCCTCCACCACTGCACATCATTTTCCCCTTCCCTCCTCAAAACCCTCCCTCTCTCTCTCTACCTCTCTTCTCTCTCGTCGCTCTCCTCTCTGGCCACCGTCACCACTGGACTCTCTACCCTCAGAGTGAAGCAGCAGTGGCGATGGTTAGTGCAGGTGATGGTAGATCTAGTGACAGCGGCGTGTGTTGTTGGGTGCGGTAATGGCGGTGGATTAATTTGGCTGTAACGAATGTGCGGTGGCGGTGAGGGTGATGTGTTAGTACTTTGATGGTTTTTTGTTAACAGTGAATGTGTGTTGGTTGGAAATGATGATTGTGGTGTGGTGTCGTTGCCCGGTTGTCACTTCAGCAGAGTGAAGTAGCGGCGGCGACAGTTGGTGCAGATGATGATAGATCTGGCGACAGTGGCGTATGGTGATGGTGGTGGGTTTTGCTGAAAAGAGTTGCATATCCACTGTTTTGAGCTGAGCCAAAGATCCGTCTGAAATTTTTTGTGCTCAGAGAAATTCTGCAACAGCTTCCACCACGTCGAAAGTAAAAGCCTGAAAACGGTGCAATTAGATTAGTTTGGTTTGATTACAAGGAAGATTGATTGCTAAAGAACAATAAGTAGATGATAATGACTTACTGTAATTTTAAGTTTCTGTAAATTGGGAGAGCTTCTGATCAAGCAAATGGCACATGAGATTTTTTCAATCTTTTCAAAATACATATCAGACAGGTGAAGAGTTTTCAGGATCTTCAAAGCCACAAGAAGTTTCTTCAATCTTTTCGATTTAGTTACAGATAATGAAACTAACACAAGGAATAGGGCATTTTCAATTTCAAAAGAATACTAGGAAAAAAAATCGCATAATGACTAATTGTGACTTTAAAATTCGATAATTTGTGACTAAAAATTAATATGTGACTAATAAATTTGAAAATATGTAACTGATAAATAACTGTGACCTGTAATTTTTTTATTCGTGACCAATAAAATAATATGTAAACTGCAAAATTTTTGATCTGTGACTGATAAACAAATTGTGACCTATAAAATTTTTGACCTGTACTGTGATCATTTGAAAATAACTCGTGACTATGGATAAAATCCTGACCTGGACTGTGACTTGTGACTTAAGTTGTGACCTAAACTATGACTTGTGACCTGAGTTGTGACCTGAATTGTGACTTATGACCTGAGTCGTCGGAATCAAAGCAGTCGCCAGAACGGTCGCCGAAATCTGAACGACATCCGGAGCAGTCGCCGGAATAGTTACCGGAGCGATCGCAAGAGCAGTGGGGCTGGGGTGGTGGAGGTGGGGTGGGTTAATTATATATATATATATTTATTTATTTGTATCTTTTTATATATTTATATATATATAAATAAATATTTATATATATGTGTATGCATAGGTTAAAATATCTGATTTTTAAATATATAAATAAATATTTATAAATATGTGTATGTATAGGTCAAAAAATCTGATTTTTGAAATGTGAAAGTTGTTTTGTTATTTTTGAAATAGGGTAAATATAAAATAGGAGAAATGAATTTTTCCTATAACTAGACCCTCTTGGACTACAAAAGATATTGAAATTTAAGTAAAAGTTAATTATTAATTTTAATCATATATTTAAATTTAATTTCACAACTTTTTAACAACACATTTTATCAATTTTTATTAAAATTTACTAATTTTTATATAAATCAAACAAGGCTAGGCGTCAAAATTAATAGATCTGATCACGAATTAACCTAGTGGTTCGGCCATTGAGAAAGGGTCGGCATACTATTTTATCTAAATCAAACAGTTAACTGCTTCCTCAAATGAAGTAGATTTAATTGACTCCAAACCTTCACTTGAAAACTAAGACAAACTCTATTAAATCTGAAGAGATGTATTTCAAATTGGGCATCACTTATCTTTTCCCTCTATCTTTCACTAATTGGTAATCCTACAAATTAGTAACTACATATGGCTCTTGATTAGGAACAATAGTTTTAGGAATGTCACATTCAAGTTGTTCTATCACTACTTCTTGATCAAATTCTACTTGAGGTTAGATTTCACTAGCCTTAGATTATCATCTCATCGCTTAACCTCAAACTCATTTTTCTTCCCAATAGAAGATTCCGATTTCTCAATCTATTTCTTCTAACTGTATATTTTTTTAAGACAATACATAGCCCCGCTTGGCCTCCATTATTTCTCATTAAATTATAATTTATTTTTCTCTCTCTTTTTATCAATCACACATTCTCAAATAAAATAATATTACACGTAATCCTAAAAATTTTCCCTTCTTTTTTAATTACTAGTAAGACACACGTGCAATGCACGCGCCATAGTATCGTTGGCTATATGATAGCGTAAATATAAAAAAAATTATTTGTCTTAAGCAATAGTTACATTAAACTTAAAACACTTGAAATGATGATAGATGATAAAAATAATATTAAGAGATTTGATTCAAAACTTATTTTCTAGACTTTACGTTTGAAGGTCTTTCTGTTCTTTTGTTGATGCCCTGCTAAAAAGCTAACGAAGTTCAACCTAGCCTTCATTTTTCTACCTATTGAGGTAAGACATTATGTCTCATTCATCTCGTACTCATATAATTTCCAATTACATGTATCAGGTTTATCAGTATTTAATTTTTTTACCAAGACCCTATGCAAGACGTATGTAACTAAGACTAATTAATTAATGATAATACAATTCAGAATTTAGAACAAATCAAGGGTCTCTATCAGAATTAAAACCACAACACAACGAAAACTTCCATCATATAAGCAAAAAGAATGGAAAACGATCACCCAACTTCAAAAATTCCATCGAATATCTTTTCAATACGTTCTAATGATACTGTACATTAAATCCATTTAACAAAATCAAAATAATCCACTTTATAGAAGATGTTTGTCTATCATCATTGGATGATGTAGGAGGATTCTTCTGAAAATCACTGAGTTCCTTCAATATCCATTTTGACGTCATAAATTTACCCTTTNAAGATTACTATGCTGCCAACCCCAACCATATATATATATATGCCACCACAAGTGCCATTCTACTCATATTCTGGTGATCTGTCTTGTGACTTCGTGTCCAAATAAAGGAAAGGTAAAAGAAATATATAAATAAAATACAGTTGATTTCATCCATCATCACAGGAATTTAACAAAAAATCAATTGGTTCTTAAAGTCAAATGAAATTAACTCAAATAAAATAGGATTGTTATTTAATATCAAATTAATTTGGAATCAGTCACGATCTCACTAATATGTATTTGTAATCATATGGTCAATTTAAGAATTTTAAGTTCATTTTTGGTTTGAATGGTTCATGAGTTCTACTTTAAATTGGAATATTAAATGGTTGCTATCTGAGGAAAGTGATTACTGAACAAGATTTTCTTTGAATCCTAGCCACAACATGGTTGCTATGTGCAGTTTATTGGACTCGAGATTAAGGCCCTATTTGAGAAGGATTTAGATTTTTCTACAGTAAATCAATTCTCATTTTCAACCACACATTCTTCAATAAAATAATATTTTTCATCACATTAATAATTTTTTTTTCTTTTTCAACCACACATTTCCCATCATATCACTATTCAAAATCAATTTTTCCCCCAAAAATCTCTCCCAAACAAGCTCTAAATATCTTAATTCCCTTAACACTTAAACCCACAATTTATATCATTGATGTACATAAATAACACAACCAAATATTTTAATGTGTGACAAATTTGAAGATTTCCAGACTATAACTCTTAGAAAGTTTTGAAATTAACAAAAGTAGAAGGGGACCTATTTATTAAATAGACAGAAGTACACGAGGCTTCATCCCAAAAACCTTCAGACAACCTTAAATTAATTATCATATATATGATTGTATCCATTAAAGTCCAATCATCATCTCAGTCACCCCATTTTCTTAAAGGACACTTCTCACGGTCGTGTGTTCCATGATACTTTTTCACTTGTAGAAACTATCAAACTCAAAGTTACAAAACTCCAAATCATTGTCTATCTTAAGAGTTTTCACGTCGTTTCCATTTGGTTTTCAACTAAGGCAAGCCAGGACTTAACTTAAGAGTTTCAGATTTGAATTTAAGAAGATATACCCAAATTTTCCTCGAGTGGTCATCAACAAGTTATAGAAAAATCTATTCTCACCATATGTGGGATGTTTTTCTTGACCCCGCAAATCTGCATGCATGTAATCTAATAGTTTCTCAGCTCCGTGTTCACTTATCCCAAAGTCTAACCCTGTGTGACTTTCTTGGAACACACATCTCACAAAAGCTCAAAGGTGTAACACTATCCTTATCTGTTCACTAAGATGTTTCCCATCCTCATATGCCAAGTTCATGATCTATCTTCACAAGCTAAAAATAATTCTAACTCTTTGCTATCTGAGGCTTTACATTGAAGGATATAAAACTCATTCCTTTTGGAGCCTTTTATAACTACTGGAGACCATTTACAACTCTTTAAAGTGACAAAATGAAATCTGAACTTATAACCTCATCTTCTAGAATGTCTAAGGAAACAAGATTCTTTGCAAAGCCCGAAACATACCTAACTCCTAGAAGAGGTAAGATCATGCCATCATGCATCCTAATAGAAATATCACATACTCTTT